AGGTTAGCTCTTCCTGAGCTTTCACAGAGGAGGCACGGGTTTCCTGGAAACACAGAGGCAGTGGTTAGAATCCAACCTGGATTCAAAGTCATGGAGATACAACAAAGATCTAGGCTTTAGCGCTAACCAACTGGAACAACACTGCGGCGTTGAGGCAAGATCTGAAAGCAGCTTAAGTAGTGGATCCTCTGATGATCTAGATGAGCTGCAGCTGTGCAGGAGGCTCCCTCAGAGGATCCACAGCGGACTCTGCTGGAGAAAGATGGGATTTTCTCCAGCTCCCAACAGTACCCCCCCCTCAAGGGCGGATTCCAGACGCAACAGACAAGACCTAGGGAGACAAGAAAGCAACAAAAAACATCCAACCAAGGGTGGGCGCAGGGGGCACCAAACTAGGTAGGCAAGAAGCTGAGTCCATAACAAAAAACCAACCCACCCAGGGTGGACGGAGGGAAACAAAAAGGAAAAAACAAACTGAGTCCCAGAACAAAAAACAATCCACAAAAGGTGGACGGCAACAAAGAAAGTCTCAAAAAAAGGTGCAGGGCGGGGCCGCCCACTGCAGCTCTGGCTGCAACATGGAGAGAGCCGCCCACGATGACTCCGGTGCAGCCTCCGAGGTGTCCTGAAACGCCCACCGAGGATCCCTGGATGCTCGGATCGGCCGCGGAGGGACTCCAGAAGGTTCTGCGGAGCGGGAACTGGTTGAAAGACTGGAAGCATGGCAGGAGGGAGACCACGATTCAACATGTCTACGAGTCCAATCTATATGAGGGTTGTGTCGCTCCAACCACTCATAGCCCAGGACCAAAGGTGAACAGGCTGATGGATAAACCAAAAAGGTTATGGTCTCTCGGTGACTACCAGAAACTTGGAGTTGAAGAGGCTGAGTCTTGTGGGTAACCTGGTGTAGACTCCTTCCATCAATGGCTGAGACGTTGAAAGGCTTCCTCAGAGGGATGGTCTCAATGTTCAGCTGTTGAACTAGATTTGGGTCAATAAGGTTTCTCTCACAACCAGAGTCTATGAAAGCCGACAGAGTGAGAGCCTGATTAGAGCTAAACAGAGTGGCAGGTAACAAAAGATGAAGAGGCCTCCTATTTAAATCATGCTTCACCGGACTCCTCTTAAATCCGGATGACCCCCGAAGCCCTTTCTTCGCAGGACAGGAAGGAACAAAATGTCCAGGTCTACCACAATAGAAGCAAAGTTTCTCCTTAAGCCTTCTCTTCCTCTCATCGGGCGTGAGCCTGGTGTGACCTATCTGCATAGGCTCCCCCTCCGCAGCTTCACAAGCTGGCGGAGCAAAGTGAGCATTTGATGCAGGTATAAGTTCAGGCTGAGCACGGCTCTCTGTGCTGAATGCCTCTTCGTGAGAAACAAAGGGAGGGGTGTCCCTTCTCTTAGCCGTAGAAACAGAAACAGGTAGAACATGGCTCCTAATTTTAGACCTTGATCTGGTTCGAAGACGGTTATCCAAACTAATTGTCAGCCTAATTAGTTCCTCAAGGGTCTCAGGTGACTCGAGTGTGGCGAGTTCATCTTTTAAGTTCTCGTTTAAAGCGTTGAAAAATGCACTCTTAAGAGCACATTCATTCCAGCCTGAGGCTGCAGCTTTAACCCGGAAGTCTATGGAAAAATCCGCTACAGAGGAATTTCCCTGTTTAAGATTTAACAGAGCTCGAGAGTCAATTGTTTGGTCAGAATCTTGGTTGAAAACCTGAGAAAATTCGGAGATGAAATCTGAATAATAGCCATTAAGGCTGTCGTCGGTAGGAAATCTAGCCTGAGCCCACTCCAAGGCTCTTCCTGTTAGCTGAGAAAGGATGAAGTTTATCTTCCTGTAATCTGTGGAAAAGCTGCCTGGAGAGTTCTGGAAAATAAGTCGGCATTGAAACAAAAAACCCCTTACATTTGCTAGGGATACCTGAAAATTTCTCTGGAAGAGACGGGCGAAACTCCGGAAGTGACGATACAGGCTCTGGTTCCGGAAACGGAAGTTGAACGGGCTCCGCTCTGGGAGCTGATTGTGTGGAAAACTCCTGCGGAGACTTATTAAGTCGAGTGTTGAGCTCACCCATGATTATGTCCACAAGCCGGTCCTGAATATCTCGAATGGCGCACTCAATTCTTCTAGCCAATTCTTCGTGGCTCCCACGGAGGAAGGCCTCAAGGTTCTGAATCCGAGTCGGTACATCCTTCAGAAGCCTCCAGAGGGGTTCCGCTGGGAAATCTTGTTGGCCGCAGTGTTCTGTCATGATTGGTTCTCAAGGAGATCCCCAATGTTGCAGAACACCACTGGGGCGGAAACAGGAGGAAGGTTAAGCAGAGTTTATTTGCACAAGCACACAGAAAGCACTGGTTCGGGTTTGGGCCTGGGGCTCGGGATCACCGGAGTCTTGAGGGTTCTCGAGGTTCTCTTTGGGGGGGTCACTGTTGGTTCTGGAGGAGAGTCTTTTCAGCAGAGTCCGTTTGCTGCTTCAGCGTCTCACGTCTAGCTGGAACAGACCTTGGCTTGGGTTTCCCAGCTCTAGTCCAGAGCTGCTTGGAGGTTCTCAGAGAATCTTCAGGGTTTGGCTCTGAGGGTTGCCTCAGCAGGTTAGCTCTTCCTGAGCTTTCACAGAGGAGGCACGGGTTTCCTGGAAACACAGAGGCAGTGGTTAGAATCCAACCTGGATTCAAAGTCATGGAGATACAACAAAGATCTAGGCTTTAGCGCTGACCAACTGGAACAACACTGCGGCGTTGAGGCAAGATCTGAAAGCAGCTTAAGTAGTGGATCCTCTGATGATCTAGATGAGCTGCAGCTGTGCAGGAGGCTCCCTCAGAGGATCCACAGCGGACTCTGCTGGAGAAAGATGGGATTTTCTCCATTTCCCAACAGTTTTTAGCAAATTTACAAACATGTATGTGGAACTTGGCTAACAGAATAAGAACATTTATAATATTTTCTTTCCAAGACATACTGCCCTTGGAAATACCAAACAGAACATGTTTAACATTCAGCGCAATAAGTATATTGCATTTCCCATTAACAAAATTATTGAAGTCACACCAAAAAACTTTGCTAAAAGAGCATTCCCAAAAAAGGTGGGTTTATGTTTCTTGTTCGATGTGACAGAAGGAACAAAGTGGATCAATATTTGGAATATATTTGTTCAGTACTGAATTAACAGGATAACACCTGTGTAATATTTTAAGGGACACTTCCCGTATTTTATTAGAAACAAAGAATTTTCTTGGCAATAACCATGTTTGTTCCCAATTGATATCTGAAAATAGATTGTTCCAAAAAAAGGTTGAGGCAGGTTTGCTAACAGTATTCCTCTGGATTATTTCTCTTATATGTTTATTTCCAGTTTTAATACTAAGGAATGGATCTGAATTCCCAATAAATAATTCTGGAAATCTGGGATCTGGGCGTTACCTGATGTTGATATAAGAAATTTAAAACCTGCAGGAATAGCATCAAAAACAACGGCAAATTCTTTAGGGGTCACAGGGAAGTTATATTCACCAAGAAATTGGAGGAATAACTGATGTCATATCCTGAAACTAGCAATGTCAAAATAAGAGTCTTTAAACTGACTAACGGAGTGCAGTAAATAATCAGGGAAACTTGTCAAACTAAATGTCTTGTCAAACTAAATGTCCACAGGATTTTCTACAACATCCACGACCTCTGACACAAACTCTTGCATATTTCCTCTGTCCATAGCGTTCCTTGACAGTGTCTTTTCTAAGTCACCAATTTAGTGCTACTTGGTCCCAATGTAATTTCCCATTGGGAACCTACTAGCACTAAGTTGCTAACTGGTTAGCAAGATGCTTCCGAGACACCGGGTACAATCGAACTGCTTGCGAAACCCGCCACAACAATCCCGGCCCCTTGATAAACGACAAATCAAATTCACTTTATCCACTTTAAAGTCGGGCACCAATTGAGAGAATTCAGAAATGCAATGTTTGGAAGAGCCGTTTCCCTATGATTTTAAAAGTCAAATCTTCCACCTCTACCATTCAGCTTACCGCTTCTATGAGTTTGTTTTCGGTCAAATTCAGTAATACTCTCTCGGACTTTCACATGTCTTTCTCTAATAGGAGAAGCTGATTACGTTTTTTCACAGATAGCAATGCTGGTACAGAATTAAGAATGATGTTTTAGAAGAATTTTGAGTTTTCTACTTTATATAAGGACTTGACCTGGTGAGTGGTGTGATTGACATCCTACATCTATTAACTGTGTGAGGATTCAGTCAAAATCTGAACTTCGCCGTGCAACACAAACTTTGTCAAGTTACGCTTAACAGTTATGATTTAATGACATCATCTGTATTTACCTGGCCAAACCCCTCTGTGTGATTGGACTGTTTAAAGACCAGTGATCCAGTCAGAAGAAGCTCTGTTCATATGATTTAACGCAGCACTTGCTTAAATTCAGATGTAATCCTTCATTTTTAGATGGACGCTCTCTGTTTCTCATCCTTCCAGAAGAATTACTCACATCTTAACTTGCTCGGTTCCACACAGTTCATTTTTTTAAAATCTATGATTTTGACCTGCATTTTGCCTACTTGTGCTAGGTGGTGAATTATAAGCTTAAGATCAATGTTAATAAAACCCTTGTGCCATGCAATGTGGATCTAAAAAACTTAGACCAAATGTTTTCTGTCTTCAATTAGTTAAATATAGTAACTCCTTCAGTTAAGCAGCCTTTTTTTTTAACTTAGTTTCATAAAATGATCTTTGGAGACAAACCAACTTTTAATTGTTGTTTATCAAGAGCATTAGTCTGATGACTACACCCAAATTTAGATTTGCAATTTACAACTTTGCCTGTGCTAAAAGAAAATGTGTGTTTTTATTGCTTATATGAGTTTCCTTAATTTGTGTGTATTTTAAATTTGTCATTATTTGAAATTGTATTTAATCTAAATATGCTTTTATAACCTGAATGGGTTGTTTTGTTACAAAGGATCAGCAATTTTCTCTTTTATTCCATCGCTTTGTTTCCCTCTGTCCAAACTGATATTGTCTCTTCTAAACTTTCTGCAAAGAAACTAAACTGCTTTGTGATTTTATATTTCAGGTATTACCATGTAATTTCCTGGATGATCCTACGTTTTTATCCTAAGAGAAACAAGATGTTCTCAGTGACTTACAGATGTCCCTACTTTGTCATTGATATTATCTCCCTGCTGATCTCTGCTTATTTGGCTGCCTAAATGGATGAGGGTTTTAATGTAACTTATATAATTATTGGTGGACACATCGAATTGGAAAAATACAGATATCTTTATTTTGTGATCATTCTTACCGTATATTTTCTCATAATAAGCTGTAACTCCACTATATTGTGTCTGATTTGGACTCACCGAAACCTCCATGAGCCTATGTACATCTTTATCGGGGCTTTGTTAATCAATTCTGTTATTTGGAGCTCTGTTATCTACCCTAAACTTTTGATTGATTTTCTGTCTGAAGAGCAGACCATATCATACTCAGCTTGTGTTTTACAGTTTTATATGTATTACTCTTTGGGTGCGTCAGAGTTCTTGCTTTTGTCAGCAATGGCCTATGACAGGTATGTTTCTATATGTAAACCTCTACAATATCCAACTATTATGAGTAAATCTACTATCAGTATTCTGTTGATTTTAGCTTGGACTATACCTTCCTCTCAGATTGCAGTAGTAGCTGGACTTATTACTAATACACAACTCTGCAGCTTCACCATAAGGAACATCTTTTGTAATAATACAATTTATAAACTGCAGTGCATCCTCAGTAGAGCACAAATTATACGTTATTTGTTCATTTTAGTAACTGTTCTATTCATGCCTGCTTTTTTCATAATATTCTCTTACACACATATCCTTAGAATATCCTACCGAAGTAGCCAGGCAGTGAGAAAAAAAGCAGCACAGACATGTGTACCCCACCTAATTACATTGAGCAGTTATTCCTGTTTGTGTGTATTTGATGTCATGGCAATTCGGCTGGATTCAGATTTTCCAAAGACTTTAAGGCTAATTATGACTTTACAGTTAATCATGTATCATCCACTCTTAAATCCAATTATATATGGGCTGAAAATGAAAGAAATTTCAAAACATCTCAAACGATTGTTCACTCGGGCCAAACAATGCTGATATAAAAACACTGCTTTCATTCTAGACAGTAATGTTTCAATCTACATTGATGTAATACTTTAGTAAATTTTTTAAAATTCACAAGAAATGATTTAATTTATTTTTTGGCATCACATATTGTTGAGGTCTGGGAGTTTTGTCCTATTTTGTCCTGCAGTTTTCAAGTCCATCCTTCAGAGGTCATGTGGGAGCACGGTTGTTTGGGTTGCTCTGCTGATTGCCTGCACATCTTCCTCATCAGTTTCAGACTATTTAAGCACTTCAATGCCATAGTGAAAACTTGCTTTTCACTGTGGCAATTTGCTGGCATTTACTGACTCCTCTCCACAGTCTATTCTGTTTGAACCTGATCTGCCTTCCACTATGCTCTCAAAACTCTTATGCCCTCTTTAGCCACAACCATCTTTGATTCAACCCTTTAGCTCCAACACCCAGATCCCATCTTAACTCATCCCTGGTGGATCCACCTTATATGCCAAGTAAGAACTTTCACACTCTCTTCTTCAAAATCAACCTGTCATTCACATTCAGCCTGAATCTAATCCACCTGTCCTTCCAGAGTTCCTGCCACTCCTGCCCCTAAACAGCTTCCACAACCTTGGCAATATTCATATGCTCTTTGTAAATAAAACTTTTAAAGACTGCATTGTCTCTCAGAGTGTTCTGCATGTTGGTTAACAATTACCCAAAACCATGACATGTATTGAATATTTATGATCGCTTGTTACATAAAAAATATATTTTGTCCTGACCTATGCAAATGGATTCATAGTTGTGACATTTTGGGTTTTTGATGAGTTATAAAGAAAATGAAGCTATTGTCTAATCATCACATATTTTTGCTAATTTGAATGCACATTCTTATATTAATAGCTAAAAATATGTCATAATTATCAACAAGCCAGATCATCAACACTCCAATATTGAGACTGACAGTGGGATATTTTAGACGTTTTAGGTATCAGAGCATCCCTAAAATTATCTGGGGTCTCATTCATCAAAGTGGCACATGCACAACAACCTGGCCTGACACTGGCTTAGGTCGCTTTCCACTAAAGGTTGTGATTTATATAAAACAAACTTGATAGGAGAACCTGCAATTCTTGCAAATACTGTGACCCATAGACTTATTAGTGTAGAAATCACCCACGTAATCTTTTAGGTTTAAATGAGAGTTAATTTTATTTTAAAAACAATAATACTTAGATGGGCCTAGGCATATGGCTTCTTAGGTGTCTGAAGGGAAAGTGAGTAAAATGTCACTGAATTAAGAGAAGCGGTAAATGAATCATGCAGACCTTGCAGGATATTTTTGAGAGGTACCTCAATGACTTCAGCTAACTCATTAAAAGAGATGAAAGGGTTGTTGGAGCCAGAGCAATGGAGTGGTAACCATTAGGGATCAAACAGAGGGGTCTCTGATAATGAGGTTGTATTTGGTTGAAGAGTGGGGGGGGAAAGTTGCTGCTGAAGCTGCAGATTCACACATAGAGAGCTTGCTGATTTGGCTTAGGACCCAACAACAGTAGCTACTCTCACGTCAGTACTGAAGTGTCCCATGTGATGATCACTTTAAGTATGTGTCAAGTCATAGCTGCAAAAAGTAGAATTCTAGCCCAGCACATTAGTTTGGGTTTTTGTAATTAATTTAATAAACATTCAAATCACAACCCTTACAAAATTTTTTCCAATTACACTTTAAATCAGCCATTGTTTCATAAAGATAATGACCATACTGACAGACAAAAAAAGTTTAATTAAAGGAATCATGCCACTATGATGACATTGCCTGTTTTATTTTTATTTTCCACTTTATGCACAATAGAGAAAATGAAGCATTTTGATGCCCTGGCTCATTAAGCAAAAGTAATAAAGGTAACAATCACACACAGCAACATTGCAGTCCTAGAAAGGAGCCAGTGCCCTGGAAGAATTGGTCCTGACCCCTGTTATGGCCCCTGTAGTGAAGACAGAATACGCAATAAAATACTTCTCATATTTGTTGATGTATTTAAGCAGCATGGAGGTCTGTCGTCCTATGCACATACAAAATAAGATGCAAATCAAATAACCACCTCTTGTTCTTCTGGGTTGTTGGAGACTTTTGTTGTGCATTGGCAATGTCATTGGCCCTTTATTAACATGGAACTCATTCTGAAGAAATTACATAATGTTATAGTTCTCCCCATTTGAGAGAACTATATATAACTTTGAGTTGTTAGTTTTTCAGTTATCAGTTGATCTGTTTTGTTAATCTATTTTCAATTTAATTCGATTCAGTTTATTTATATAGCGCCTAATTCACAACACGTCATCTCAAGGCACTTTACAGTTCAACCAGATCATACAGTCAAATTTATTCAAAGTTTCCTATCTAAGGAAAACCAGTTGATTGCATCGACTTATTGACTCAAATACAATCCCTCACACTAAGCATGCTTGTAGCGACAGTGGAGAGGAAAAACTCCCTATTAACAGGAAGAAACCTCCAGCAGAACCAGGCTCAGTGTGAGCGGCCATCTGATGTTCAAGGAGACACAAAAAGCAGCTGCAAAAGGCGGCCCCATCCAGGAAACACACAGCCAGGCAGACGAGCTCCGAGCCAGCTCCCATGCCAGAGGATGAAGAGAGCACATCCAGCCAGTCATGGTCAGAGAAACAGGACCACACATGAAAACAGGCCAATCTCCAGCATCTATAAACAAGGGTGTTGATGGAAGCAGCACAGCTGATGTTTCTCTCCAGGATGAAGTCACAGCCAAACAATTTTCCATTATATTCAAGCAAACTTAAGTTAGTCTGTGTTGCCCCCTTGTGCTTGTTTCCTTTCCCCTTGACTTCCTTCTAGTTAGTTCCACTCACACCTGCTCCTTATTTAGCTCATTAGCCCATCCCCAATACTCCACCTCTGCAGTCACTCAGTCCTGGGTCCTTGTTGTTTGTTGCTTCCTCATCTCTGGCTCAGTCAGCTGTATCTTTAAGGCCATTTTTCTGCAGGAAAATGAACTTCAGCTCTGTTCTCTTATATGGCCTCTCACGGGTGTTTTGGTATTTCTTTTTTTATTTCCAATAATTTTCCTGTTAATTCTAAAAATATCAAAGAAAAGAGTCCTCATACCAAAACTCTGCTAACAACAGTTTTTGTGTTTACCACATCTTCATTGTGTGCACAGGAAATCCGTTTTTTGCCACACATTGCCTTTTGTTTGTGAGCCAAAAGGCAATCTCTGATGATAACGGGTAAAGCCAGGTTTTTCAAACATGAGTCAACCCGCTGAAAATCTGCATCTGGCTCCCTTCCCATTGGCAAAAAAAATTGCATCTAACCCCTCCCTACAAAGGTGTGACCTCTGTCCCACCACGGTTGCATGTGTGGTGAGGCCATAATGCATGTTTAGCGCTGATGATGTCAAGAGTGCAACAGAAATCAGGAAAGTAAACAATGGAGAGCAACATGTAAGGAAGCCAGGGTTTATTGTTTCGCTCTTTTATCTGCCTATTTCACTATTTTATCTGTTTATCGAATGTAAACAGAGTAGTTTCAGCTTGTAAGATCAGAAGCGACTTGCGACGTGTGTAGACATCCGTAGTTTAGGCTCAATGGTGTCACATCATTTACTGGGCCAATCTGGTTCTGGGGATACAGGGGTACAGTTTTGCTCTGACTTGACCAAAGGATCTTTTTTAATGTCTGTGTGTTAGAAAATTTCAGATGGACCTTTGTGTTTTGGTAGGTTTGCTTTTGTTACCTTTATGTGTTCAGATGATGGATTCTTAGATCTCATTGAGACGTTCAAACATCGGGATGTTGTTCTAAAACCTAACCCTGCTTTAACCTTCTCCACCACTTTCGTCATGACTTGTCTACTGTTTTTATTAGTCTTCATGATGATGTTTATTCACTAATGTCATCTAGAAAAAAAGGGAAGCTTCTTGTTGTCATATTTCTTACTGAACTAAAGTAATAACATTCAGTGATGGAGTGTATATTAACTCACTTTGGACTCCATTAGAGCAGGGGACGGATCTGTGTGCAGCATTAGGACATAGTTAAAGCTTCACCAGTGTGGAGGGGCCACAGTATAAAGACAATGGTGCAAGCTCTCTTTCTTTATGTTTTTATGCTTTTAATAAGCTGTTAGAGTAAACAGGAGTCGTTTATATAAAGCAAGTATATGTTTGTGTTGAATTTATAGCTCTCTATTTACTGCAATATGCACTGCTGCTACTGCACTAACAATACAAGTCAGTTAAGTTTAAAGTCTTTTTTAACACTGTTCTTTATTGATATTATTTATTTTTACAGAAATAATTTTACACTGATACAATATAAATGTATTTTGTCTGTGATACTTTTATCACTCCGTGGTTTTTAGAAATTGCATTATTTTCTAAAAGGTTCAACATTGTTGTGTTTTATTATAGAAATAATTCTGTTTTTCTCTAGTAAGGTTTAACTTTTCTTTCTCTTCATACCACTCTGCCTCTTCCAGCTCCACGGCTGCGCAGACATGAAGAACAACAGCAGCGACTCTTATTTTCACTTAGCCCTTTTTACAGATATGGGTAGTTTAAAATATCTTTACTTCAGCCTTTGTCTTCTCATCTACGAAGGACCAACTCTGCCATATTTAAAAATAAATACAGAAATAAATAAATGCTCAATAAATGTATAAGCATACAATTAATTGCCAACAAAAAAGTGAGACATAAATGTATATAACTCTTAATTAGCTTCTTTATTTATTTGCCTTTGTAATATTTACCTTATTTATTTTTCTGTCCTTTATAATCTTCAACTTTATTTTTTAATTACTTATATTTTTAAGTATTTATTTATGTGCATGTTATTATATTTTTGTCTGTTTTATTCTTCCTTTGTATTTTTTTACCTTAGTTATTTCTTCGCCGCTGTTTATTTCTCTCTGCCTTTTTACATTTCTCTCTGCCCTTTTTACATTTCTCTATGCATTTCTATCTCATTATCCAAATGAGGAGGGGGTGTGTCCTAGAGAGTCAACTTCTGCTCATTGGTTGGCTTGGCGGTCCATCTTCTTAACTCACAGAGCTCAGAGTACTAAGTTAAATGTTCTCTTTTCTGTTGCTGTTGTTCAATAAAAGTACGTTTTAAGATCATTTGAGGCGAGAACCTTATACTTTTAAGCATCACCATATGGCCCATTCAAAGATTTAATGCGTAATTTAAAAGAAAATGTGACGAACTTGAGAGGACCGTGGCAACCAGCGGAGCTCCGAAGCTGACGGCAGCCAGGTCTATAGCCAGGCTATGATGGTGATTTTTTGTTGTATTTGGCAAAGTTTGGCAAAGTCCCTACTCAAGTTCTAATGACTTCAGACTCGACATCAGACTCTCCTCCTGTAGATTCGACCGATGTAGTAAAATGCTAACCAACACGCTTCACACACGGCTATGCCGAGAGAGGGCCGCTGCAGATGGGCTGTGGTCGGACCTGGCTGCCGTCAGCTTCGGAGCTTTGCTGGTGCCGCGGTCCTCTCAAGTTCGTCACATTTTCTTTTAAATTACGCATTAAATCTGTGAATGGGCCATATGGTGATGCTTAAAAGTATAAGGTTCTCGCCTCAAATGATCTTAAAACGTACTTTTATTGAACAACAGCAACAGAA